ACTATTTTGTGAATTTGTGATGAAAAGTGAGAAATGGTGGTGAAAAGGTTTAAACATGTTTATGGTTTCTATTATTTTTTTTTCAAGCGTCTACCCATTCAGTCAGTTGAAAACCATGAGTTTTCGTGCGAAAATGTTGGTGAAATTTTTATGTCATTTTTCTATTGTTGTCATTTTTTTCTAATGCTATTTTTCGACTTCTTGAAAATTACTAGCTCAATTACTTTGAGACTTGGTATGGTTTGCAACAATTTGACAACAATTGCAATTGCCATAGCAACAACCATCTAAACTACCAATCAAAGTCTTTTATATATTTGTTCAACATATTCTTGCCTGTGGCGAGTGCAGTAATTTGCATATGTCATGATCTGTATTTGATTGCTGTGTGCAAGGCACACAATGGGTGTTGTTGTAGTTTAGTTCATCTGTGTAAATATCTATATTTATGGCTGTCTGTATATGTGTGTCTGTTACCAATATCTTAAAAACCAATCATTATAATTTCAATAATGCTTTGTCATAGACCTATATTAAGTTTCAGTAAAAATCTCTGCATATTACTAATCATGAACATGGAATTAACACTTTATTTCCCTACTCCAAAATGAATTAATGTTGTTCTTTTTTTGGCAAAAAACAGGCCTATTTCTGATGTTTAATAAGGTACATGCATGCACCATAACTGCCTTGAATGTGTTATTGAGTATTTGTGAAATGTATAATTATATGCTGGTACTGTAACCTGTAAAGTCAGGCTTTGTATCAGGGTCTTGAGAAGTTTGGATTATCATACGTAATATTTGATAGCATGAACATCATGTGCACATTGCAGAAAATTTATTTGAGAATCTGACCAGATTTGCCCATTTCAAAATTACTGTGCTCTACAGTAATTTGAAACAAGTCATTGTCAATGACACGTCCCCGTTCCGTTCATATTTGAGTGACATATACATTCAAAGCAGATCATGACTGAAATGCACCTGCATATGTACAACACATTGTGCTAAATCTGAACAAAATCCATCCATGCATGACTGAGATCCGGTTCTGGAATTGTGAAAATACGTGATTTTGATGCATTTTCGGCCTTAAAATGGCCATCATTCCGCTATTGTTAAGCAGATCATGAAACAAATGCACATATCTATTTGTGACATGATGTACCATGTGTGTGTGAAGTTTGAACTTGATCAATCCAGACATGTCTTGGATACGGATCCAGAACTGAATTCTTTAACAAAATGGCCGCCAGTCGGCCATTTCGAACTTGATGAAAAAAAAGACGTGCATCAAGGTCCTATTATGTTTAATGTATGTACCAAATTTGAAAATCTCCATGCATAACTGAGATCCGGGTCCGGAATGGTGAAAATGTGCGATTTTGATGCATTTTCGGCCTTAAAATGGCCGCTATTCGGCTATCGTTAATCGGATCATGAAAAAAATGCATGTGCATTTGTCCCATATAATGTGTGATGTATGAGTGAAGTTTGAACATAATCGGTCCATGAATATTCGAGATACAGGTGATCACGGACGGACGGACGGACGCACACAGGGCAAAACATAAGTCCTCGTTTTCGGACTCCGTCCGAACGGGGACTAATTAGTATGCACAGATTTTTACCAAAAACTAATCAAAACCTAGAATTAGTTCAGAGCATCTATGTAACAAGTTTCATCAAAATCCAATGAGTGGTTGTTTAGATATCAGTGGAACAGTCATGGAACCGCTAAAAATTAGCTAATTATTATGCAAACTAGGTAATTAATGAGCATGGATTTTTACCAAAACCTAATCAAATCTGCTCATTGGCCCAGAGCATCTATGCACCAAGTTTCATAAAAAATGTATGGTTCTTGAGATAACAGTGGAACAGTCGGACACGCATACACACACACACACACACATACAGACACACTAACTGCAAAGACTCCCAATATGTGCTTCGCATATGGGAGTCAAAAACGGG